TTTACCAAGTGGATCATCATGGCCTTGCCATATTGGTCCATTTGATTGACCTTTATTATAATTATGTATTTATTTTATTTTCGTTTTTTTAAAGACTGGACAGACATGACTGGGGGATAGGACAGTGAGAAAGAATGAAAGAAAGAGAGGGAGGGAGAGAAAGAAAAATAGAGGGGAGAAGAGATGGTGAGAAAGGGGGGAAGAAAAAAAAGAAAGAAAAACAAACAAAACACCTGGATCACCTGTATGGAAATAAAATACCAGAAGAGAAAACAAACAACAAAGAGCAACATAATAAAAACAACACCATCACAATAAACTAGCTAACAATAGATAACAGTAGATACTTTTTTAATTTCACCTGTTGAGAATGAAAAAAGAAAACAAGCAGAAGAAAACGAGAGCAATAGAATAAACATCATCAGTTATATGGGAATATAACTGTAAATACTAAATATTAAACATTATTGTGCAGCACGTAAGATCGACAGCGCACAGTGTGCTTTGAGGTAGGCGCCAAAAAGGGTGTAGTTTGTGTGTGTGAGCACCCGTGTGTACACCTGTGAGCATGAACGCGCTTGTTTTTAAAAGGTTCCTTCATGTTTCTTCATGTAATGATCTGCTAGAGGGTGTGGGGAGCCACAGCCCCGTCCACCAGGGGACAGGTGTATGGAGGAGATCAAAACTCCAGACATCCAGAGGCCCTCAGAACACAAGAGACCAAGGAAGACCAACAGAGGGGCAGCCGCGCCACTCTGTATATTTTATATTATTTTATAATTTTACATTTACAATTTTTTTTCCTGGGGACCCTGTGACACCCCATTGAAGAGCCATAGGCTGGATCTCTTAAGATCTCACTGTTGGGTTTGTAAGGCCATGTTACTCAAAAAACTCATGTTACTAAATTTCTATCTTGTTCAAAGAGAAGATATAAAACAAAGTTCTAAGCTAATCGACCTTAGTGTTCTCCTTTTTTAAAAAGAATCGATAAGAGAATCGATAAGAGAATCGATAAGAGAATCGATAAAGAATCGAATCGTTAAACAGAATCGAAAATGGAATCGGAATTGTGAAAATCTTATCAATACCCATCCCTATGGATTTGTCAGGTGTGAGCTTCCACACAAACAATCTTCCAATTCTGAAGGTGTTTTGGGCCCCTTCTATGAACTCTGAGCTTCAGTCCTTTCCATAGACTAGATTAGATTCAGTGCAGGTTATTTTGCTTCTATAAAATCACTTGAGAGTTTCCTTGGGTGTGTGTTTGGGCTCACCCATCCTTGTTTTGTCTTCATTATCCTGGAAAATGGCAGAAGATTTTTTTTCATCAAGCATGTCTCTGTACATTTTATCATTTATCGTGCTAGTGCAGCATGCTGTTTTTCAGCATGCTGCACTAGCACATATTTTTGAGGTTGATAGCCTTTTAACCTCAAAACATGGTGTGTATTATGGCATCCAAAGAGTTCAATTTTGTTCTCATTGGACCAGACTATATGCTCCCATGTTCTTCAACATGCTTTTTCTTTAGCAGTGTAGTCATGCTTGGTAGGATGCATGCAGGCCTTGGCAGTTGAGTGCATTACTTATTAAAACCATTGTACCTGCTAATTTCAGGTCTTTCTGTAGTGGTCCCTGGCTCTTGGACAACTCTTCTGATAATTAGTTGCATTCCTCTGTCTGAAATCTTGCAGGGGACACCTGTGGCCAGTTTATGGTGAAATGATGTTCTTTCCGCTTCCACATTATGGGCCTAAAAGTGCTCACTGGAACCTTCAGTAGTTTAGAAATTCTTCTGTAACCAATGCCATCAGCCCGTTTTGCAACAATAAGGTTGCAAAGGTCTTGAGAATGCTTACTGTCTATCATAAAATGTTTTTCTGTATGACACCTTGGTAATGAGACACCTATTTTGTAGGCCAGCAGAAAATTGATAGATTTTAGCACATGTTGTGATTTTCATGTCCTTTTGCATCGTTCTTTCTACATGTGTTCAATACTTTCCCCCTATGTAATCTCATTATTTAACACAATTTATAGCCATCTATTGTTTGATTTCTTTGCATGTGAGAATTAAATGGGTTGTTAATGACATCCGGTTGGAATTTCATGTCAATTTCAAAATATATTGACTTGTTGACATGTTTAGTACCTATTTTTACCCAGTGTATCCCATATACATATAGTCCAGGTCAAAAGTTTAAGACCACACCCGTAAACCCGCCCAAAACAGAAATCCAAAACAGAAAGTTCCAAACATGAACTCAGTAATGAGTAGATCCACCATTATTGTTGATCACTTCAAAAATGTTTGCATTGTTCTTGATGCACAGTGTTTCCATGAGGTGAGTGGGAACATGTCTTTAAGAGGTGAAGACAGCCGCACAAAAGTTAGGATCTGTTTTCCATCATTGTAAACTTCCCTTGCCATCCATCCCCAAAGGTTCTCAATTGGATTTAGTTCAGGGGAACACACAGGATGGTCCAAAACAGTGATGCTGTTCTCCTGGAAGACGTCCCTTGTCCTGCAGGCATTGTGTACAGTAGTGTTGTCCTGTTGAAAAGCACAGTCATTACCACACAGACGAGGGCCCTCAGTTATGAGGGATGCTCTCTGCAACATCTGGACATAGTCAGTGGCCATTTGATGCCCCTGTACCTCCTGAAGCTCCATTGTTCTACTAAAGAAAAAAACACCCCCTCCACTGTGGTGTGTAGAAAACATCTGCTTGTCATGCCAGTAATGTTGGAAGCCATCAGGACCATCAAGGTTACATTTGTTCTCATTACAGAATAAAACTTTCTTCCACCTTTCAATGTCCAATGTTTGGTGCTCTCATGTCCAAACAGTCAGTTCTGTGGCTTTCAAGGAGATGAGGCCTTTGAAGACCTCTTTTGTTTTTGAAGCCCTTCAGTCTCAGATGCC